ATTTGTACATTTAATATACTGATATGGCTATGTTTTTGTTTTTTTTTATTATAAAATAAATATATGATCTTTGTAGAATATGTTTTTTTACCTAAAACTACTGAAGTTGAATTGACTACTGAAATTAACTACTGCAATTAAGCAATTTCTAATAAGTATTAACGATTAAATGGTATTTAGAATTTTTTCACAAGATCGAAGAATTAACTTATATGTACCGAGAGAGTTATTTAAAAAATTATGGTAATATTACAATCGAGAATAGTCTGAATGAGAATAAGTGAAAGATCCTTTCAATGTTCAGACACAGTCAGTTGAAACTATTATGAACGAATCATCTGAATCGATTACGTAAACTGACAAAGAACATTCAGTGTAGTTTATTTCTAGATTACCATCTCGAACAGGAGATAAATTTTTATCTTATTATACACTCATTGAGAAACAAATATAATCGAGTGTACAAATTACAAATATTATCAACTTTAAGGGAAATAAGTATTCGAAGAGCTTGTAATATGCAAGTCAGCATACGTGATTATAATTATCGATACAAAAATTATACTTCTCTTTATTTGGACATTTTCATCATAGAAATATTTTGGTTTCTCACTGTATATAGACATATTATTATTATTCTAGAATAATTATAGCTTTAGCTAATATATAGCGTTCAACTAATAATTTTAAGTTTTTAATAATTGTATAAGCTACACATGATTCGCATAAACAAATATTGAACAAGACACACACTAATAAAACACGGACATGCCCAAAACAACTAAAAAAAAAACACTATACTCAAATGTTCTATGTTTTTAATAATTTTAATAATCAATTAAATTTTGTCAACGTAGAGCTACCGATTTATGTGTACCTCGGTTGCTGATTTTCTAGGTACCGCGTGCAAAATCGTACTGACGATGGTACGCCTACCGCTTGCACCTTTTATAGTTTGAAGTACTCTTCGCTATCACCGACATTTTCCATCAAATGTCACTCGGTGATACCGGTTCAGCCTTCGTATGACCGGTATCACGTATTAAAGGAAACCTTTCCGGCTAAGTTGCGGGACGAACAACCTGCAATCAATCCGCGCCTACGTCGTCAATTAACCGTTACTGTAAATATACACTCGCTTTAAATAATAACCAATTACCTGTCAAAACATAATATCGAATGTATCAATAGTGACAGGTTTGGATTAAATGAACGAAACTCGCCGTTCAATTTTCGTAAGCATTACAAAAAAATGAACCATGTATCTTCAAGAAAGTTACATGTTTATTCGATTGAATTATGAATAATTTCAATTTTTCTTTTTTCATTTATTTAGTATTTGTTAGGTCGTATAAGATAAAACGCTCGATTTCTTATCATTTGCAAGTTGAACATCCATGTGATCAGTTATACGTTTAAAAATGTGGAGTTCTTTCCTTCATTGCTGTGTTAGTAAAAATGCATACGAGCAAATGGTACATAGATGGATTAATAAACCCTTCATTCAATTAAACAACCAATGTTTCTTTCTCTTTGAATAATTTGATAATTTTATACTACATGATTTTAATATAAAGAAGATTAATTATTGTAATATTGAATCAATATTATTTTCAATAATGTGTTAGTATTTTTTAATATTATATAAAAGGTATTGCGTATCATATGTTACTTATTATACATCACTTTTTAGAAAATAATCTTTCCTTGTGTCAGACGTCTGTAGGTCTTGAAAAATGATCTGTCAAAGAAAGCCTGGTTGTCATGAGTGGAATCAGCAACCTTTGAATACGTCGCACAAGGTACTATATTGTCGTAGTACCGCCTGTAAGATCTTTCGTTGCAACAAGTACCATCAGTCATCTCTTTATTTAAACACACAACACGTTGTAGCAGTTCTTATGAACAGATAAAAAGACAGTTCAAAAGACGTGGAAATTTCTCTTGGAAATTTGTAAAACAATGACGAGTCAATGACAACTGAAACGTGTCTCAATGTCAACTACGGTACAATTATTGAAAGTCTGCATCACTGATATACCTTTCTTTGATTCTGAATCTAACTTAACAAGCTCATCGATCTTTTTCAACAATATAGTGTCACAAACGATTAAAACAAAGTTTTTCTACATTTTATGTACAGTTAAAAATATAATTCAAAAAGCAGTCCTCATTTACTCAAATAGAGACCTTTTTTATTTTCTTCTTATATATTGTTGAATGCATCAATGAAACACCATTTTTTTTAACATAATAAACACAAACTACTCCATAAAATCAAAGGATTATTATATTGTAAATGAAAAATTACCGACCTTTGAACTCCTATAACTCTATAATAAAAAGTCATACAACATTCTACTAAAGTTTATTATAATGTGTGACACTTTTACTTTCGCTTTCCATCAGCCATGTTTTCCTACGATGTTTTCGCCTCAAATAACTTCTCTATTTTAACAATTTTCTGCCTGACAATCGAAATATTAATTTACAAAATTATTATAAATGGATAACCTAAAAATAATGAATTTTTTAGATCGTGCTTGGTCCATGTATTTCAGTAAACAAATTATAAATTATATAATTATGTAATAATATATAAATTATGATGAAACATTAATCGCACCAAACTTTTAAGGTGAGTTAGTAACTGGTTTCCCAATTATGGGACGCTAAAGGTGTGAATATTCATCAAGACGTAAATGCACCCCTTTCGATGTACGGTCATTTATGAAACATTGTATAATTTAATTTGAATTAATGATTCTTTCGGTTATTCTACCTATTGGAGAATTTATTTTCTTCGTGTAAAGAGGAAATACTTTTGTAATGAAAAAAATATCGAGGTGACATATTACTTTATTTTGAAACTCGAACATACAGAGCAATCAAAGCCAAATTTTTATACGCCAGGTATTTCTTTATTATTAATTAATCGATTATGACATTCAAGATGCATTTATAAACATGTTGTACCGTTGATAGATATATATTCAATGAATTTCCATAACAATTTATTTACATTCAAGTCTGATAACTTTCCAAACATGAATATATACATTGTACTGCTATCACATAGCAATATTGGACATAAATACCTTAAGATTCCAGTATAATTTTTTGCTGAGTCGAAGTTTCAATTTTATTTTAATAAAAAATAGAAAACCTATTTTTGACTCGTCTAGATCATGTCAAGATTATCAATGATTTTTTACACAACACTCTGCAGTTTATTGTCTCAACTATATGCTGCATCATATATACTTTTATGTAATACATACTAAATCGTAACATAAAAAAGAAATTCAATAAAATAGAAAACGTAGAAGAAGGGTAAAAAGATGATTAGGAAAAGAGAGGGAGGAACAATTAAAAAAAAATTCTATCATTAACTATGTACAAGATACAGATATTTTTTTCTTAAAGATTCTGGGGAAAATATGTGGAAAACTAGAAAGTAATTAAAAGACTTCTCAAGCACATAGATAAGGAGGAGCAAAGAAAAGCAGAAAGGAGAAAGATTGATTAACTGCAATGACAGAGAACCGCCTTATTACTCTGCTCGCATGGATAAAAGAGATTTACATAGTATAAAAACTTAATTTTTTAAACTTACAAGTGATATTTTAAAATATTCTAATTTCGTTTTGCAGATTTATTCTGCGTCCATGACAAAATTATATTATTATCTACTTTTATTACCGAGAAACTTTTTAAGTGTATATTTGAAATATATAATTAAAGTATTTCATTTTCATTTCATATCACTAAAATATACATAGATACATTATTTGCTACATTTTTACATCCGATTTCAAATATTATTTTATCTAAATTTCAAAGCGTCCAATATTTATAATTGTATTTTATTTTTTCTAATTATTCGAATACATAAAGATATGTAGATATACACGATTTCATGTGTATGACATTACAGAACATTCAAGCTTACGAAATTTCTCAGTACCGTGTGAATATTCGCAAGATTTTATTGTGTTAATTATTCGCAGTGAAACTGTTAATCGTATCTTTCGAAGAACATTGTACGTGTACTGTCTCTGAATAATTAATTATTCCAGAATTCACATTTACAACTTTCCATTAAATCAATCTTTTATCTACTTATTATTCAGATTAATAGAAAAAATAACATATATATGCAATAAAATCGCATCATTGACTTTGTTCTGCGATAACTTAGAAGCTACTGAAGAGATTAAAATAAAGTGTTAATTGTCATCCAATTCTAAACATAATATATTTCTTTTTTTGGAAACATTAAACTAAAACATGAAAGAATATTTTAGGAGTATTAGAATTAAAATTTTGTTTAACTTTTTTTCCCTAGAGAATAAGAAATTTTTATAAATTTATTAGAAAAACGACTGAATTACTTTAAATATCTTGTATTCAATTCTGTATGTTACATGAAGTTCAAGTACAAACAGTAAGAATAACAATTTCTCTTAAGATTAACCCCTTGTCTTATAATGTCGAGTCAGACTCATACTGAAGATTTCAAACAGAATATAAAAAACATAAATACAACTCAATTCTTTTGAATTATAATTAAATGTTATTCTTCTCTTATCAACTATGATTCTTTAGAACAAACAAAAATGCATAGTACGTCTAGAATTTTTCTCTTTATGTCAATAAATAATTAACGAAAAAGTAGTTGTATCGATCATAGTTAAGAACGAAATAAGACTAGAGGTTAATCGAAAAATCCCATTATTTCTTTTTATCGCATTTCGTGCCGATTAGAAGATGAGAAATTAATTGCGTAGCACGGAATTTATTCCAGTGAAGCGAAAAACAATACTGTTCGGGTTATTCGATGCAACTACATAATCGTTCGCCTCTCAAAATACGCCATAGTCAACATAGATTCAGCAGTTTAGCACGATGTACGCAGAGGCCTATCTTAATTAACACTCAGATAAGTGGCCGTGAGTGTTCAAATAAGATTAATTTAAATATCGAAAGTGAACAAGAAATATCAGAGGAACGGTAACGGATACGTGGCATGTTTTCGTAGGGAACAGTGAAATTTCTTCGGCAAAACGCTTTTATTTATATACAAAAATCACAAGTTAAAGTATACGTAATATAATATATAATATATATACTATCGACGCTCGATACGCGTCCTCGGAGCTGCGATGGCGTCGTCCTTTTTTCGCGTTTTAACGTGTGAAAGCAGCGTGCGCGCATGAGCACGATCCTGTCGTAAACTGCCGAACAGTGCGCATTACTTTCTTCTATACAGGTAAGATAAAGAATCTCGGAAGTATATAGTTATTATATATCGGCTGGCTCGCGCCTTAATTTTTTTTGTTATGTATAATCCTAGATTAATATACCACACTATATTTATTTTTATGGTTGCATCGGAGGCTTGGGGTCGGTTCTGTCCATGGCAAGCTGGCTCGAAATCAGGTCACGTTTGAGGTATTGTTGGCTGTTTAACCTGAAACACGAGAACATCATTAATTAACAGGAATGCATTTCAAATCCTGTTGCTTTGTTACAATATTCAAAATAATATCTTCCTCCTCGATGAATTGGAATAATTACGATACTTCTCATTATGCTAATGACAGTGCCAACTTTGCCATATAAAATAATAGTAATAGAAAATGGAGAAATAAAAATAATCGGAGTCGTATAAACGTGAAGCTACACCTTTAAAAAGATGGGGCTGTAATAGTTTGTGTCTAAGATACTATTATAAATATCACAGTTACAAATTATCATGAACTATGTTTAGAAAAAACTCGATTTCCAAACTCCAAAAACATAAATATTAATCAAACTTTTGCAACTGTTGTGGTTCTGTTATATATTCATTATTTTTATTTGTAATGCTTTACGAAAATTTATACAAACATTTATGCAATGAAT